ATGAATTAATGAAAGTGTTATTGATCAAAAAAAAAAAAGTGACCTACTTCTAGAAAAATTTGACCTTATCAGGTGAGTGTGTAAACATTCCTTCATTTACATCCTTTAGGAGTTGAAAATTTTTGGGAAATAGCCATATTTATAATCTTTTATTGCAAATATAAGATTCATATGGTAATGTTATTTAAAAGCAGCATTTGTTGCATCCTGATTTTTGGCATTTTGGTGTATCTATAATCTCTAAAAAGAAAGCATGTTCTGCCTAATTTTCTCTCTGGTTGCTCATGCTACTACTTATTGGTTTATTGTGATGGATATCTTTGTAACTATCATTTAAATGCAGCAATGGACACATCAGAGACGAAAGCTACAAACCCAGCATCTGGTGTTCTTAACAGGTCAGTTCTAACTCATATTTGTTTTTATCTTGGTGCACCTGTTATGAAATTTGGCTGAGGATGGTAGGTGGTCTAAGATGAAGCTGAACCTCAACTAGGTACAATTCTGTGACAACGACAGTGGGCAAACCAAACTACTTGAGGCCATATTCTCGTCCTTTGGGATTTGGAAACCATAGATACCATTGTAGTTTCTGGGTGCACAACACAGGCTTTTTTGTTGCATTTATGCTTTTATCATTCTTTGTTACTCCATCCCTCATCCTTTTTAGTCTGGGTAAAGAATGAACTGAATGTAGCATCCAAATTAGTCACATATGAGAAAACATATCTTCTGACTCGTAAGAAGTGAAACTAGTCCTATTAAAAATGTTTAGGTTCTACCTACTCTTAGTTTTATTCTAGGCGGATTTTTTCTCCCTATTCAAAGTTCATCAGTTAGAATGAGAATTCCATAAACTTTTGTTGTACTAATTTTCATGCTGACAAACATGAGAATGTGGGTTCAGATAACCATGATTAACATTGGATGATGGCCCTTGTTTGATGTGCTTTTTTTTTTTCCCGGTTCTTTTTCTGAGCTCTATATTTAATTTTTTATGTTACAGAAAGGTAAAGAAGGCAATACCAATGAAGAGATCAAAGAGCCGTAGAAAGATGAAAGCCATAGAGAAGGCTATATCTCAAATTGAGAAGTCTGAGTCAAAAATCTTGAAGAATGAAAGCAAAATATCAAGAACTCATTCTGCAAAAAAATTATATGAATAAATAACTTTCTCTTACCCAAAAATAGGTAATCTGCAAGTGGAATTTCAGCCCCCTGAAATTTTATGTTTTGTACTCTTAGTAGTTATTCTTTTGGTTTATTGTGTTATGACTGCATGTTTAACTCTTATTAAGCATTATTCTTTGAGCTTAGTGGAATTTATTTCTTGGTTGGGCAACAATGTTGCCCACTTTTTGGCAAAATATGCAATTCAATTTCGTTAAATTATTACTTTGGATACGGCTCTTAGTTTCCTTTAACCAATTTTAACATCTGTAAACTGGAGCTAAGTTCTGGTACTTAGGCTATGTTTGGAAAATAAATGGTTGCTTGTTCAAAGTACTTAATAGTATTTGGGAGGTCTTTTCTCAAACCATTTATACTTATTTTAAGTACTTATTTGTGTTGCCGTGCTTGGTGAGCTACTTATCACTTAATACTTATATTTGTGAAAATAACAATCATAGCCTCAACATTTTCATGCATAGTATCATAAAAACTTGATTTTACTAGTATTCTTGTTATGGGGCTTCAAAACTCATTGAAATGGAGTGTCTAATTGTTCTTGCATGCTGAGAATAATGGAATGGGGGAGGGGGGGGGGAGAAATTGATACGCTGAAGTTATCTAACAAGAGGGAGAAGGATCTAGAATAAGGAGAAGAGAGAGAGAGAGTTTGTATGTAGAAAAGCCAATGCCAACTCCATTCATTCAGGCTATATTTATAGCCTTATTGTGCTACAAACTGGGAGTAGAAATTGGAACTACTGCCCCTTAATCTTAGGAGCTTATCAACAAAAAAACAGAATGCACTTATCTAGGAAACAGAATGCACTTATCTAGGAAACAAAATGCATTTATCTAGGAACAGAATTGAAGACTTATCTAATGCACTTATCTAGGAAACAGAATGCACTTATCTAGGAACAGAATTGAAGACTTATCTATTCTAACAGAATTAAAACTGAATGGCTAAGGCTTATTCCAACTAAGAGCTAACATGACTGGGTCTTCTGCACTTTGACCGGGTCTTCGGCTGCTGTGCGCCTAGTGCATGCATGCACATGCACATATCAGAAATCACCCTGGTCATCAAAGCTGAAATTGACCAAAAAATTGGGAAATCTAAGATGGGTGAGGTGTAAAATGTAGAAAAACGACGAAAAAAAGAAAATAAAGAGTTCATAAGGGTTGGGATTGATATGGTGTAGGAACCCACTCGCCATCCTTGCAGGTATGGAGGTTCAAAATGATAGGAAGAGTTTCTATTTGTTTTGAGAAGATGGGGGCAGTTTAGAGACAGGTAAACCGTAAACGCTCTTGTCCTTAAAAAATCGAATAAATACTTAAAAAAACACTCTAGAGTTGCTTATTTCTTTTAAGTACTTAATTCACAAATAAGTACTATCTCTTGGCCTATTGCAAAACACTAATAAGCACTTAACAATACTATAAATACTTAGTTCTCCCAAACAGGGACTTAATGGAATTAGCCCAAGGGATTAAGAAAGAAAACGAAAAACCCAATAGTGGTAGCCACTGTGGTTTGATCGAAGGTTCAAAGTATCGATACAGGTTGATACGCTCTATCGGCATGTCGGCCTGTAATTGTATTGGTATTTTTTTTAGTTTTTATTTATTTTTTTAAACCAGTTCAGAGGGGTCAGTTTAAGGTTCGGTTACCCTCTGAACTAGTGTTTGACCCGATACAACCCCGGGAGCCATCGACACGATATGTATCGGTATGAATACTTTAAACTTTGGTTTGATCTTATTTTTTTTTTTAATAAAAAAAAGTTGGATAGGGGTATGGTTTTGATGTTGTCAGTAAAATCATATGCAGCATTAGATGAACATTCAGTGAAAATAATGGAACTGTGCATGCTTGTCAAGGCGACGCCTAGGCAAGTGTCTTAGTAGCGGTACAATTTGGGCGGGTTTGGGTTGTTGGGCTTTTGTCAAAATTTAAATGGGCCTGGTCAAAGGCCAACCTCAAACAGTGTAAAATGCTAATTCAATCCAACCAATTTTAAAAATAAAAAATAAAAAATAAAATTCAGTCCAACCAATTTGCGCCTCTAAGTGCCTAGGTAACAAGGCACCCATGAGCGTTGCCTTGTTTAAATGCTAAGCTATTTTATACATGGCACTGCGGCACTGTAGAATATTTTATATTTTTATCTTTTAGAGATATATTAAAATATTAAATTAAGGGAGTGTACGGCAATGTGAATGATTTTGTTTTTCAGAAACAAAAATCAAATTCAACCACTGTCAGCAAAAAGCCAAAAACCATATTGTTTCTAGCTGTTAATGTGGTTATTTCTGACATTTTTTTTTGAAAAAAAATCATTTATATTATTGAATATCCCGTAAATTATTTATGTTGTGGGTTTATACATTAATTTCTTTTTATTCTTTCATTATTCATTGGAGTTCAATCAATACACGCGTTGGTGTATGATGCCTTGAATCCTTTGAGAACGTCCAAACATAAGCTATAAGCAAGGGAAAACTTAATTTTGTCCAATCAATGCATTCTTATTCTTCTTCTTTTTTCACTTATTCTTTTTATTTTTTCTGAAGATAAAAATAGAGGTTTAGTTCTTATATTTTTTGAATTTTCACATCTTTTCATAAATATGTTGATTTTCTATATTTTAATACAATATTTATAGTTTTTAATGAAGGTCATAGAGTTTACAAGTGAAAGATGGTTGTTATGGAACTCAGGAAATTATCCTAGAATATATGCTGTTTTATTTTTATTAAAAAATCCATTACTTAGGCAACAAAGCACACCCTTGTCATTTGGCCTTGCCTGGGTGCCTTGAAAATCATGGAACTGTGTATTTTTTGTTTTTTTCTTTAGGATCAGTTTAAAAAGAGTAAAAATAAAACCATATACAAAATACAAGATTTTACACTACATATTTATATTTGTATTGGAGGGGGTGGAGATGTTTATGGTTAACCAACAAACATGTCATGTTCTTACTTACCTGCAAAAATCAGGCTCACTATTTTGCGATAAATATGGTTTCATCTATGGTGACGAAGGGATGAAACGCTTTGCTTGGTGATTCAACCGATTTACGATCAAACAACAAACATGTCATGTTCTCATTGACCTGCACGTAATAAATCCCATAACTTTGTGATAAATGTGGTTTCTTGTATGGTGAGATAAGGTTAAGTTTGGAAGTAGTATAAATACAAATATGTACAGTTCAAATATATAAAATAACAAAAATACAAGGTTTTTTACCCCGCATTTGTATTTATATTCTTTCCAAGCTGAGCATAAGGATTAGAGCCTTGATTGGTGGTTCAAATACAGTTATAATATTTCTCATTTGATCACAAACTAAAACTGTAAAACAGATGGGTTCATTGGAAACGGGCAGAGACATGGTAACTAGAGGTGTAATGTGAGCTGTATTGCAACTTTTGTGGGCTGCTTTCATTGTAGCGGGCTATGCCTGCATGGCTCAGAATCCATCAAAAGGGAAGTGGCATGGCCTGTGGCCTCATCCTAGGCAGGCTTTATGTCATGTTGTGGGTGGCACGAGTTTTTTTAGAAAAATTGAAAAAATAATGAAAAAGTTAAAATAAATTAACAAGATAAATAAAAAATTAAAAAAAATTATAATAGAATTAGAATAAAATAGTATAATAAAATTGGATATATATATACAACAGTTTTTTATGCCGTGCCTTACTGACCAAAACCTAAGCCTGACACAAGACGGGGGGTTTGGCCCGGGCTTGACATGGCTCACTTACTATAGTGGTTGACTTGTGGCAAGCACCATCTGAGTTGTGCTGGGCCATGCTAGGCGGCTTGGCTCACGTTACAGATCTAGGGGTGGCAGAGGGAAGTCATGACCCCTTATGTTTTAAAAATCCCCACAATCATATTCCCCATTTATATCCCACATTCCCACTTATATTTTGCACTATCCATGTTTATTAACTTTTGGCCCTCTTAATCCATATTTATTAGCTTTTACCCCCTCCAATTAAAAATCCTACTACCCCTAACTAGAATGATTGCCGTGGCCCGTGGTAGAGCACTGAACTTGTCAGTGTATGCATTGAACCAAGGCCCTTGGGACATAGACAAGACTCTAGAGGGCTTTCCTTTAAGCATGTGGTTCTAGCCAAGGTTCTTTTTATTAAAACTGGACCGAATAAGGAATCGTTCTGGATCTGATTCCTGGGCCGAATAGTCCGATCATTCAGTTCAAATGGATGACCCATTCTGACAGAAAAAAAATTAAGAAAAAAAAGCAAAAAACAGCAAAAAAAACCATTGTTTGGGTTGACGGTTCGATGGTTCGATCACCTAAATCAGTGGTTCACTGACCAAATCAACGGTTTTTGGCCAAAAAACGGTTTTGAGGTAAAACGGAATTGATCAAGTGACTAGTTCCCAATTTCCCTATCTGACCATCCGGTTCAGTTCGATTTTGAAAACCATGATTTTAGGTTCACACTCTGTAAAAAATGAGGTAAATAAATTTTTAGTTAAAATAAAAATATATGTAGAGTAAGCTCTGAAGGCATGTTGCTTTTTAATTCAAGCTAGAAAATTATCTAATTCTTTGATAGCAATTCAAATTTTAATTTTAATTTCTGCATTGAAAAGCCCAAGATAAAGTCTTTCAAGATATACATTGGTGCGAGTCCCACATTCTCTTAGATAAAGTGCAAGTCAACCCTATTATAGCTCTCTAAATCAAATAAAATCTCAGTCTAAATGCTTTATGCTCAGTTTGGAAGGAGTATAAATATAAATTTGTAGAGTGTAAAATCTTGTATTTTGTATTATTTTGTATGTATTTATACCGTACATATTTGTATTTATACTTCTTCCAAACTGAACTTTAGGATATTTTATAGCCCGAAGGCAATCCATTCAACATAAATCAACTATTATATTGTGCATGAGATGGATGCACCAAATTTGGCCAAATAGATGGCAACTGAATTATAGGCCCTAGGACAGTAAAAAATCGAACAATGATCGAGGGAAGAAATTATAGTCTCGTGCTCGGCTACTACATGACATAGCCTCTATTGTGGGTTTGGAAAAAAACCCAATAGGACATTAACTAAAACTCATGGTTTTCAAAATTGGACTGGAAAAATCAGGAACCGGTTACCTGACTAGTTCGGTTTTCCCCAAAATCGCTGATTTTGATCAGTAAATTGCTGAACCGATTGGTTAATTGTTCGAACCATTTGAACGGTTTTGACCATTTTTCAAATTTTTTAATTTTTTAATTTTTTAATTTTTTTGTTGGAATGGGCCAACTGTTTGAGTCAAACGGTCAAACCATTCGAACTGGTAACTAGACCCCTGACCGGTTCGGTTTTAAAAATCATGCTAAAACTTGAGAACTCACTTCCTTAGCAAAACGTGCATTGACAAGGAAACCATGTGTCTCAGCTTCAAGAGGAGATGAAACTACAATACTAGAGACACTAAATAAGAAAACTCCATTTTAGTCCCAGACAATACTCCCAATTATGCATTGATTATCTTTAAAGCCGACATCCACATTTATCTTCACTTTCCCTGTGGGAGGCTTGGTTCACCAAAGAGGGATGAGGGGCTCCATGCATTGGGAACATCTCTTCATGCAGACATGCATAATAACATACAAACATAGGAGATGTTCTTTATGTATAACAGGTTAACTTTGGCTGTTGGGGTCTAATAACATAGGCTGTTGAAACAATTTTTGGGTTGGACATGTTCTGGACAGTTCACTTATTCACACCCATGCTTTGATTTTTAGTCAAAATAAATTAAGATATAATTATTAATTTGCCATTCTTATGATAATGTGACATTTTTATAAATTCTCTCAACAGCATAGGCTGTTGACCCCAACAATTAGTTTTTTCATGTATAACTGCCATGTTATGTTATGTGAGTAAGTGTGGAGCACTTGTGGGTAGGGAATCCAAACTGGGATAGGGGGCATCCAAACCAAAGGCTGTGGAGGTAGTTGTCTACTAGAGTTGTTGAGATAAGAAGAACTAAAGAGAGACTGGACCCTATACAACACGTGGCATGCACAAATAGACATGTTACATTCAGAGGTACAAATAAAAATTAAATGATTAAAGCCTTCAAGTTTTAACTTGTACCACCATTCAGTCCAACAAGTTAAGCTCCAATGAACATGGGTAAGAACAAACGCTAACTTTGGCTCCTACTAAATTGTAGGTACAATCACCTTTTTCACCGTAGATTTAAAGTCGCCTCATCAAACATTTAATACTTTTGACAAAAACAAGGAGGCGTGGATTCATCATCCACCGTTATAAGTGATTGTCCTTAGGACCGAAAATTTTTGGATTTTTAACAGATAAGGACAACTTTTTGCCCTGAATATGAATAAAAGGTAAAATTTTTATAAAATAATTAAAATAGAATAACTTTTTTTTTGAAAAAAATATCAAGAAAGACAGTGATACTATCCATCGTCTTCCTCTGCCTTCGTGCGAATACAAAAATACAAATATGAAAAGGTTAGTAAGTTCCTGGTCTGTATTGTTTATATTCTCTTTCTTCTTTAACTTATACTCTCTCTTGACAAAAACACAGCGCTGGAAGCTACGACAGCGAGCCATACAACAGAGCAGAGCTGCCTACTCTACCACGTACCTCTGAGTCCAACATCTTTGCATCCTTGTTTGTCCCCCCCAGCTTGACCCTTCCCTGGTGACTCCACACCATCTTCATGCCGGAGAATGCTGGTGACGTCTACCGGAAATCCCTCCCACCTGTCGGAGATCTGATCCATGTCGGTGTATTTGATGTTGTCACCGTCGTTGTATCAAATTCATTGAAATTCGATGCACATGGCGTTGGCTGGAGGGAGTAGGCATCGGATGATGCATACCCAGATAGCCGGGGGTTGGCTGTCAACTGGTAGCCGAATGCCAAATTGGCATTGTAGAAAGCTATATCAGTGTTGCCGTGGTTGAACTCACAAGGTGGGGCTGGAGTGTTTACTGAATGTGGCCGTTGCCGCCGTCAGTTGCAAGCAATATGGTTCGATTTCGAGCATGTTGCAAGCACACGCCAGTGTTCTGTATTCCTCTGTTCAGTCTCACTGGGAGTCTTCTGCAATCCGGCACACTCTCAAGTCACCGCAATGCCAACCGACTCGATCGCAACTCTGCCTTCCGGCACTGCAACTTGTTATGTAGAGAGTGATTAACCAATCTAGTCCTCCATGGAAGATCATGGCCTAGAGGGAGAGCAAAACAAGCACCAAGATCTTAGAAACAGTATTAGCCAATATGAACTTGGTGTTCATCTGGTATGGGTTGTTCTGAGATGTGAAGTGGAATGACAGCACCGGAACAGCAAACACAGCAACGAATCGATTGATGCCGGAGCGTTGCTCCGGCTTAAATATCTTCCACCACTTCACCGAACCATACGCCACCAACATGGCAAAGTAGAGTGGAACCATCACGCATATTTCTTGATATTTTTCGCTTGAATAGAGGTAGAGGAAGACGATCAACTGTGTACTGCCCTTTCTTGATATTTTTGCAAAAAATTTATCTTATTTTGATTATTTTATAAAAATATTACTTTTTATTGATATTCAGGGCGAAAAGTTGCCCTTGTATGCAAGAAACCCAAAATTTTTTGATCTGAGGTCCGGTTCTATTTGGTTGAATTTGAATCACTCTAATTTGGATCTTTAGATCGGATCAGGTCTGATAATAGGATCCAATCAGAAGTTGGATCGGATTCAGATCACCCCATCTAATCCGATATATATGCTATATATTTATTTATATAAATGTATATAATACATATATATTATTTATTTATTTATAAATATATTATTTATATTGTATTTTTGTTTATTTGTTATATTATTTATTTATTTTTTATAAAAAACATGTATATATATGATAAAAATAATTAAAAAATATTTGTATTTTTGTTTTTCTTTATTTAAATTGGTATATTTTATTTTTTTTTCTTTTAATAATTTATTAATTTTTAAAGAAAACAAATTAGATCAGATCATATCTGAATATCTGACTTTCCAATCAGATTCGAATCCAGATCCATATCTATCAAATTCAATCGAATCTTCAGATTGGATTGAATCTACAATTGACATTATCAAATTCAAATATACTCTGATTTGAATTCAATCCAATCCATTTGCATCCCTAGGGTCTCATTAGATGAGTATAACTTTTTTTCCATATTTTTGTAAAAATGATGAACATTTTATTTCACAAAAGCCCACAGGCCCTTACATCCATTGGCGGAGCTAGGTGTGAATGCATACCAAAAAGCACATGTGTTAGGAATTGGGTTTACTAGTTGCTCATTTGGATAGTTTGAAATTGGGTTCAGCATCTTCACCCGTTTACAAAAAATAAATAATTCAAAAGATAGGGATAGAGAGAGAGAAAGAGGCAATGACCCTCTTTATTACGTGGCTCCACCCTGGGCTCTCCCTGGTATAATGTAGCTCCACCCTTGCATACATCAAAGTCCTTGAAGAAGCAGCCATAGAACTTATTCTTCTTCTTTTATGCAAAGAAACAAACTTTATATTATGAGATGATGGTGCATAATATAGTAAAGAAGTAAGCGATCATGTTAAAAATACATTACTTATTTTTTTCATTTGGTTCATGTTTTACAAAATTTGCTTATAATTACCTTAGAAATTTGATAACATTAAAAATGTTCATTTTATCGCTGAATCACATTTTTACTTCACGGTGCAGTTTTTGCATTGTAGATTTTACCTTATATTATAGATTGAGAGAAATTACACCTCCATGGTGTGTGAAGCAATTCCCAAGCCAGCCTAGGAGGAATTTCAATTTCTACAATTAGAGACTGTTCCATTCACTTGCTACTTGTAGCTCCATTTGATAACTGCTGCACTCATCTAGCATTATCAGTTAAACAAAGTGCTTTTGCGCACAAGGGTGCAAATGGATCGGATCAGATCCAATCTGTATTCTGATCTTATTTTGTTGGATTCGGATATACTCTTGTTGATTTTTTTTTTTGAATCGGATCAGATTTTTTTGGACCCAATTAAAAATTGGATCAAATCCAGATCAACCCCATATTTGGTCCAATCCGATCCAATCTGATATATATTGTTTATATATATTATTTATTTATAAATATGTTTATATTGTATTTTTGTATTATTTATTTTTTATAAAAACATAGGTATGTATGTGATGAAAATAGTTAAAAAAAATATTTGTATTTTTTGTTTTTTCTTTATATAAACTGTTATACATATTAATTTTTTCATGAATTAAATTGGATCGAATCATATTTAGATATTCAGCATTATTAATAGATTCGAATTTGAATATAAATTTGTAAGATCTGATTGGATCTTCAGACTGGATCAGATTTATACTGTTAGACTGGATTTAGATATACCTTAAATGGAATCCAATCTGATCCGTTTACATCTATATTGTGCAGACCAAAACCTCGAACTCGCTTTAAGAAACTCGATATGATCTATGCTTCAGCTTGCTCTTGGCCATGAACAGTACATCTTCGCCCTACTACTACAACAACACATCCTTTTTGTGAGCATTTTCCATCAACATACATGAGACTTATAAGGGCAAAACAGTAAATGTTCCTAATAATATAAAAGACCTATGTCAACTAGGTTTGATATAAAAGGGTCTTACATAACAATTTTTACTTAAATGCTAAAGTCTGATAAGCAAATTACTTTTCAAACTTTAGACATCTAATTAAATCAAAACAGTCTTATAAAAGTCAGAAAACAAGTTACGTTTCAAATTTTAGAGGTCTAATTGGATCAAAAGACAGTCGACCCACCCTTTTTGTGGAACCATCTCTAAAAAGTAGGATGCTTCCAAGTTCCAACCTACCAATCTGGACTTGATTATTGAACCACCGACCAAATGGTCAATTACAGGACTGTAACACATACTTATCATGCCTCAGCAAAGTTGTGAGTTCATCTTCTGACTGTATGGTTTGACCTTCAGTTTGGTATTTAAGACTTGAGAAGCTGCTACACAGCCACCACTTGGTGGCGAGCTGTGAGAATCATCTTTGGGCGACAAGTCAGGCTGTCCTGTGACCAATGCTTTGTATTAAAATTTAGCAATTCATTCTTTCGGTTGAATTTGGTAGGAGAAAAAATACAAATATATAGAGTGCAAAACGTATTTTATATTATTTTGTATGTATTTAATACATATTTACATTTGTACTCTTTCCAAACTCAGCCTTCTCGACATAGCAGTCCCATATACGAGAACAGGCCGACAGCCATTTCTCCTCTCAATTGCAAGGGAAAGAGTCTTCATTTATGGGTTTTCTAAAATCTAAATGGCAGAGGGCTGACATGGCAAGTTAATCAGTAGTCGGCTGCACATTATTTTTTGATACCTTAGCCACCTGTACAGTGTCGGATCCATTACGAACCAGTGCATAGGCCGGTCTCGGGCTCGCGCTTGGCTTTTGCTTTAATTTGAATGGGCCCAAAACAGTATAAGCTCGGGCTCGAAGCTGGCCTCTGACCAGGTGGACCATCTGTTTTATTGTTCTACTGCCATCCAAGTTCCAATTTCCAACCTTGCCAACGTCTAAGGTTGTCAGTTGTCACTCTAAGCCAAACGTCATCGTTATTACAAAGAAAAGTCCAATGGACCAGATGAAGCTAGATCTCAATCTGCTCACAATAAAAATTTGTTTTAACACCCTTTCCGACATGATCTGTATCCGCACGTCACAGACATGATAGATCCCAATTTTATAGTAAGATGTGCGGTCAGAGACCATGTTGGGGTAATTTTTGTTGTGAACAAATCCCAGCCCGGGCCAGATTGGTCCGATAACCCATATGGCCTCAGGGGACTTGGTTGATTGATCCAAGTACAATCAATCGTCATTAAGGGAAAGTCCGATAACCCAGATGGCCCCCCGATTAAAATTGACCCACATCCACACAAATGGAAAGAACGTATACATAGCGTGATAGCGCATGCAAATCATGATACACGATGTCCGCCTGATTTGTGGATCCGACGTGTACAAATAAGACGTTGAGTAGGGTGATTGGTCCAGTATCCGCTGCGTCTTCCAATCCTCTGCAGTAGCTGGAGGAATTAGGCCAATCATAAAACGCCACGTTATCCTTATATGCAGTCGGCTTGGTTTTTCAACTGGCTTCCTAAAAAAGATCGGCTTCTTTCAGGGCAAGCCCGTGCCTACACCGTTCCAACTGCAATTTGCAATCTTACATTTTCATAAAATAAAGCACATATAAGGATGGAGAGATATTCTCAATGCAACGCGTAAAGGCTGCTCTAATGAGCTTTGCGGGCAACATCTGTGGGGCCAATCCAAAGTTTATTCATACAAGGGGGCGCCCTATAAGGGGAGATAAAATCTTGTGAGGCTCGACCTACAAATCTGAAATTGTGTTTTGTTGGCAGGTGATCTGTACTCGTTACGACTTACGATTAGAAAAAGATTCGAACTCGTCACTTCGTCAGCTGTACTTTCTTTCTCTTTCTCTGACAGAAACAGAACAGAGTAGGAAGGTTCTCGCTTCCCATAACTAAATAAATAGCGTCAAGCAGCTCTTTCTTTGCAAGTTGCAACCAGGAATGGAGGAGCACAAACACGAAAGGGAGAACCTCATTATTGTTGAGAGTGTTTGGGTCAATGGAATCCTGACGCCTGCTACGCTCTCTGGAGACGGAAAAATCCGGTGGACGGAGAACCAAGAGCGGTGTTTAATCTTGGAGAAGGAGGTTCTAGGATTTGTCGTAGAGGGTTCTAAAATCAGAATTAAGGCTGTTGTGGAGAAGGAGAGCGGATTTTCTTGCGTTGTTAACCGCGGGATTCGAGTCAGGAGGGACTTCGTGTTCGAGCCTTTGTCTCAGGAGTCGCACCAGCTTTGGTGCCAGAAACTTCAAGAATGCATTGATTCTCTTGGTACTTGCTTTCAAGATAACTTTTCAAGTCTTGAATTCTCTTTTACTTATTTTGTATTTTAAGATTGTTATGACTGTATTACAAATATTCTTTTTTTTTTTTCTGAAGTTTCTTGACAATTTCATCAATATCTGTAACAGAATTGATTCCCTTGTTTTTAATTTTATTAGTTATTAATTTAATGTTCAGAGTGATTTTTAGTTTATTTTATACTTCCTTTTATTGCCCTTTTACAGCTTTTTTTGGTGAATGCCCTTTTACAGCTCATTCGTAATATAATCTACTTAGAAAAACGTATAAATCCAATGTTTTCAAAGCACCTTCTCCAATCCCAAAGTAAATATTGATTTTTGAAACATTGAGCTTCCCTAGCTGGGATTACTGGCCTGGTTAACATTCGTGTCGTCATCTTTGCCTTTATAACAGACCGGCCAAGAAGGTTGCTTATTATCATGAACCCGTTCGGGGGAAAGAAATATGCATCTAAGATTTTCCAAGATGAAGTTGAACCACTTCTTGAAGCTGCTAATGTCCAGTATACGGTACAAGGTAGGTATTCCTTAAACCATCCTTGTTTTCCGTAATGGTCTTTCTTGGTTTCTCGCCAATGCTTTAGTTTGAATTTATATCTCAGAGACTCAATATCAACTTCACGCAAAAGAAATTGCTCAACAATTGGATCTCTCTAAGTATGACGGGATTGTATGCGTTAGTGGAGATGGTGTTTTGGTTGAGGTGAGTCCACTATGCTTCGTTGATGTATATATGATTTTAATTTCACTTCCGTGTTGCATTAATAAAGTATACTTGGGATGCACAACCTATTTAATTTGCTCTGTTTTTACAAATATAGGATGCACAACATATATCATGAGAAGATCCTACCAATGGCAAATTGTGCAAGTCCACATTTTTCAGTCTTGCTTCCACCAATCATCGTCCCACTTTATTTCTTAAATTCTGGAAATAATTTAACATTGATGATCATCACCATTCATTGTGACGCTCTTCTATCACCATATATCATCCTGGGTATAAAGAGAATGGGGTAGAATGGTAGATCATATGGCCTATATCATCAAATTGAGTGGCTTTTAGTGTAAAGATCTCCTAGGATTGGCCCTATGAATGGTGGGGCTGACCTTTTAGGTTGTGACATGCACTAGTTAACATACTTTCATTTCAAATCTTATTCATAAATCAGCGAAAAGGGTATCTTGTCATGTACTAGTTAAAGCATAATGACCAGCGAAAAGTGGTTTAGTGTATATAGTTTCTATTCCTTTAATTGCTTGTTTGTTTTATTTGGTTGTTCATTTATTTTTTCTTACAAAATGCACATTCATTAGTAGGTAGTAAATGGGTTGCTCCAAAGAGATGATTGGGCTGCCGCAATAAAAATGCCTCTTGGGATAATTCCAGCAGGTTTGTTAGTTTTATCACAGATTGACAAGTATTCAAGTTCAATGACTGAACCTTCTTTCTCTACTTTGTGCAAATATAAACTTCTGATTTGACATTAAAAATTGTTTCCAGACAGTATCTTTATTCAGAGTTGTGGGACTGATTTCATTGATCATAACAACTACCTAAATGTAATAAATGACAAAACTGCAGTGAACATGGTGCTGAAACTTCAGGAACAAACTGCAGTGCATGTTTGTCCAGTTCCAATGATTGAATTCTTGGATTTTCATAATATTGATGCAAAAAAAAAAAGTTCTTAGAATCGCTGTCAGTTGGCTCGGACTTGTTCTTGAAAAGTCAATGTATTTCAAATTGTTTATTTGAGACAGATAAAATCAGGGAAAACCTCTTGATAGAGCAAAATGACAAGATAGGGTTTAGCTAACCCCAAATAGCGGGGGTTAAGTCTGGGTTGACTTTTATTGGACATACACTGGTGCTGAGGCAGATCTCTTTAGAAAGAGCATCTTTTATGTCATTGTAACCTTCTCTAGCCTCCTTATGAAATCACAAAATTTTTAAAAGCTCGATTTTGTTATCATGAAAAAGGCCACCTAGTCATTTATCTGCATAATCGCACCAGTGTTTTAAAAACGCAAGGTGCAGGGGTCAATTTGTGCTTGAGGCGTAAGGTGCAAGACGAGGCATGCACCTTTTTAAGCAAGGTGCAAAAATAAAAAAGGCGGCTAAAAAATAATAAATGCCAAAAAGTCCAAAAAATGCAGAAAGTAAAAAAATTATTAAACATAATATTAATAAAAATATAAACATTTAATTTTAAAATAAATATTTTAAAAAACCTATTATCTAATATTAAAATACATAAATATAACATGTAAATCATATTCAAATGAGAATTTAAAAATAAAATCAAATATATAAAACATTTTCAAGCATATAAAACCCACACTCTTTTTTTTTTCTCAATTACATTACTTCAAGTAGCTAATGTAATGTAAAACATATTACATTCCTGATTCTACGAGCCACCTTTGTACCATGCCCCTTGAGGCAAGCCCAAACAAGTCCACGTTAGGTCTTAAATTCTTAGTTCTCACACAAAAAATAATGATTTTATAGTTTTAATTGCTTTTTAAGAAGACATTTTATTAGGATGAATGAATGAACAACATTACCAAATAGGCGCATGCCTGGGCTGAGGCGCAAGGTGCACCAGGCATGCGCCTTTTGAAAGGGCTGCGCCTAGGACTTGGGCGAGGCGCCTACCCTGAAATGCGCCTCGCCTATGCGCCTAGGCACACCTAATGCGCACCTTTTAAATCACTGGATCACACAATGATGAAAATGTGGACAGCATATTGGTCCAGATTGAATTTACTAATTTTGGTTTCATGACTTAATGTTGTGAGCTAGGTTTTTTGACTTCCTTTTATTTTATACTCCTTGATTTTTTGTGCTTCATATTTTGTTTAAGTGTCTGTTAACTCTTTTAGAGCTTCTTATGTGGCAAGTTAAAAATTAGTTGTTTATTGTCCTTTAAGCCAAATAGGATTTAGTATTAATTTCTAATTATGTTCCCAAAGTATTGGAGTAGTTTGAATAGTATAGATTTATCAACTGTTCAAGTACTTCACAATTTTTTGTTATCAATGGTCAATTATTGTGCATCTTCCAGGTTTATTTATTTATTTATTTTTTTGCACCTGTATATATGGCTAATATGGTGGCAAATCAGAACTAAATAGTTGTGTTGACGAATATGGGCTTTAATTCCAATAACTGGGCCAGCATTTAATATAATGCAAGCTTTTAAATATAGGATTTGTGCTCTAATGTTTAATTAGAAGAATATCATGGCATTTTTGGGGTGGTGTACATAGAGCCTCTTATAACTTGTTGAGTGCCATTATCCTTTGTGCTTTGGCTTGGCATTTTGGAATGATGCCTAACATGTTATTTTTAGGTTGTGTGCTCCTAGTATCACTTGTTCAAAAAATTGTTATGCTTATTTTTGTTCAAGTATAGGCTAAATATCTAAATCTCTCAGTTATTGAATTTGGTTCCTATATTCTAAGACCATAAATCCCATGACTTTAGTTGTTGTTATTATTTTTTCCTTACATTCTAAGTGACAAAGAATAAATAAAGAGCCTCTCCAAGATGAAATTAGGCAGTTGTGTCTGCCATACCGATTGATAGCAACAATTTAAACATATTCATTTTCTAAAAAGGGAAGTGGTCATCAGATGATGGTAAAAAGGTTAGTCAAATAAAAAAGAAAAGAAACTGATGAGTTGTAGAATGCCTTGTGCATTATGTGAAAAAACAAAATCCTAGAGATAAGAGTGATTTAAATGAAAAGAGGATGCCAAAATGATGAATCCAGTAAAGGAAAAAGCTGAACTCTAGCCTCTAGGTTACTTGGCACCTTTCAATTGGACAATACTTTTCTGTGGTGTATGGCTGTTAGTAATAATGTAATAGAGGCAGAGTTGAAATATCTACCATCCCTAACCAAATTTTCTTTCCTGGTGTTTTCTTTTTTCTTGTTTTTCCCATTTTATAATTTTGTTATCTTACAAAGGCTTTTCTGTTTTTTTTCTACCACAGGAATGGTTCAATTTTTATGCTGTCTCACTTTCTTGTGTGATTCTTCTAAGTGATCATATGCTTTTTTTATTGGAAGTGGCGACTTTCATTAAAAATAGTAATTAATCATCATACACTGTTAACCACTCAGAAAATGAGTGTTGACCCCAGTCAAGATCGAAAATTACAATATAGCCCCAAAAAAGTTCTCCCTGAAGGCCCCCTGCTTTTCCAAACTATCAGCCACAGAGTTGGCTGACCTCCTTACCCATTTGAAAAAAGTTCAAAGTAATAATATGCCTTTCTACTCTTTTGAATATTAGAAGCAGTTTTTTGGATGCAGGTACAGGAAATGGAATGATAAAGTCTCTTCTGGATTCAGTTGATGATTCTTGTTCAGTGACTAATGCTACTCTCGTTGTAATTCGAGGTTATTATCTTTTGCTTGTACTTTTATTTTGTCAGTGCTTTGAAATTCATTTATTAAATTTATTAAAAAGTTTGATTAATAAAGAAAAACACAAAGAAATTATTAAATAGTTCCCTACTATGTTATTGAACAGAATCAAAATAGAAAAGAGGATTCGTGTAGCCTACCCCATATAGTTCAGACAAGGCTTATATAATGATGATGATGATGATGATGATGATGTCATTTAATAGTCCCCTACTGCATGCCTTATGGATGTTCAATTTTTCATAGAACTACTTCTTGGTTGTTTACTTTTGCAATAATTATGTACAGGTCACAAGTGTTCACTGGATGTTGTTACTGTCTCGCAAGGGCAGACAAGGTTTTTTAGTATTTTGATGCTTGCATGGGGTAAGCTTGAAATATCATCATAGTGATTTTTTTTTTCTATTTCATTCTATGAATGAATTACTTCTTTCCATTCGGTATGCTGTTTTACTAGATCTTACTCTTTATTTTATTGTAAGTATGATTTTAATAAATGTCTTTGCTCTTGGCAGATGCCATCAGCTAGTAGGTATACAAATCCCTACTAACAATGCTATTTGTAAGTGCAGGTCTGATTGCAGATATTGATATAGAATCTGAGAAATATAGATGGATGGGAAGTGCTCGACTAGACTTCTATGTATGTGTATGACTTCAATTTTTTGCAGGCTATTTAGTATTATTGCCTTCATTTTATTTAAGATGCATTTGCTAAATGTTCACTACAATTTGAAATATCCCTTTCTATATAATGTTATGCATGTTATGTTATACAGTTTCTTAGTTACTTTAAAAGAATAGCCAACACTGTTAATGTACCAGATATGCAATATTATATTATTGTCAGTACTAGCATCAAATTATTTATTATTGAGCAAGCTTTAATCCTGTTTTATTCTTCCTTCTTTCAAATTAAATTTCTTCATCAAGTTGGTTTGTCTGTAACTGTTAGAATCGATTTGACCTTACTGTACTTATTTAAGATAAAGTATGCATGGAAACAAACATTGTGGTTTAAGATAAAAAAAATTGGGCAGACCCTGGCCGATCATAAAAGGGTATACCCTACATAAGTTATTGGGATGTGATACTTGATATGCAATTAACATGATACCTACATTGTGGTCTTGCTGATTTAATTTTACTACCTATGTAAGTGTGTGTGTGTGTGTGTGTGTATAGTTTCATACCCAACTTAAGAAATATGTTTTGGCGGATTTCTTATTTTTTTGAGTTCCATCAATGTGATGTGTGCACAAAAACAAATTACATGATTACATGCAGCACTCCAAGTATACAGCAATAAGCACAAGAAATACCAAGTTGAAAACAACAAAACAAGTTGGACTTTTAGGGATTTTAGACCTAAGCCTGAAGTAAAACTCCTCCTGGAACAGTTTCGCTACAGTAACAATGGTAGCAAGTTGGCCTCCTGCACAGACACGCAGCGATAGAGGGATTGGAAGGTGCCAAAATGGGTCGTCGACTCCTCAAAACCCAACACTGTGGTTTAAGATAAAAAAATTGGGCAGGCCCTGGCTGATCATAAGAGGGCAGACCCTACATAAGTTATTGGGATGTGATGTGATACTTGATATGCAATTAACATGATACCTACATTGTGGTCTTGCTGATTTAATTTTACTACCTGTGTGTGTATTATAGTTTCATACCCAACTTAAGAAAGATGTTTTGGCAGATTTCTTATTTTTTGAGTTCCATCAATGTGATGTGGACAGAAAAACAAATTACATGCAGCACTTCAAGTATACAACAATAAGCACAAGAAATACCAAGCTGAAAACAACAAAACAAGTTGGACTTTTAGGGATTTCAGACCTGAACTTAAAGTAAAACTCCTCTTGGAACAATTTTGCTACAGTAACAATGGTAGCAAGCTGGCTTCCTGCACAGACACGCAGGGGTAGAGGGATTGGAAGGTGCCAAAATGGGTCGACTCCTCAAAACCCAAGCTTCCAATACTTGAAAACCCTAACTGGAGCTGAGCTACAGCTCAAACAAGAGAGAAAGAACCAAAAAGACCCCTAGAGAAACAACCCCCTTCTCTTTTATAAGACCCAATGGCTTGCTGGAGAAGCCAATTAAAATATTTACACATAAGCCCCTGGACTTAAGAACAAAACTAACTTCGAACCCCCAAAAGATAACTTTTGTTACAAAAAGACCCAAGAGACCAAAATCCAATAGATATGCACTCAACTGCCCCTGACCAGAATCTGAATTATAAAACGATTAAAATACCCCTGGTCCCAAACTGTCAACAGAGCTACCCAAAAACAACAATTTGGGATCCTATTACAAAAAGCATGCAAAATAGACTACATTCACATTTTTTTTTTCATTTTTTCTTTCTTCCTTTTTGGCCTCATCACAATGTTTACTTAATTAGTCTTTTTATTTATCATTCTTCTAGGCTCTTTTGAGAATAATATATCTGCGGAAGTATAATGGACGTGTTTCCTTTGTGCCTGCACCTGGGTATGAAGCTTATGGTGAGCCAAGCAACCAAAGTGGTGCGCACCCTAGCAAACTCCATATATGTGGTCAAGGCCAAGAAGATACTGTTAATATTGGACAATGTGGCTATCAAGGACCTCCAGTTTCATTGAATGATTTGGAGTGGAGGACTATTGATGGACCATTTATTTCAGTTTGGCTTCATAATGTGCCATGGGGTAGTGAAGATACCATGGCGGCACCCAATGCCAAGGTTGGTTTCCTTCTTTTTTTTTCTGGATAATTTGTGAGCTTTTTGTTCTTTCTTGTTTTTCTTTTTCCCTCCAATCAATTTAGACATATATGGTTGTTTCATGTAACTTGGAATTCGTCTCCCAAGGTGTTAAATAACATGCATCTAGATATGCTCTTTTGTTTCTGGTGGGTGAGGCAGCAGGGGCTAACCTCATTTTCTTTTCCTTGGGGTGATTGGAACATTATATTGTACATCACTTTACCTATATTCAAATTAATAAAATGGGATAATAGATTGGCCTTTCTTGGAGGAGTTGCTCTTTAAGTGCGGTTTTGGTGACAAATGGAGAAAGTGGATTAGATGGTGCCTACAATCTTGTCATTATTCCATCTTGGCGAGCAGAAGTACTAAGGACTTCTTCCTAGCTAAGAAAGGGGACCCATCATCCCTATTCCTCTTCATGGTCATAGTTGATGTTCTTAGTAGATTGATCTTGAGGGCAGACAGATTAGGACTAGAGGTGATCATTCATTTGTTTTGTTCGGTTCAAAACTAAACTGAAAAAACCAAAATTTCTAAAACCAATTTAAGAGTTTTGCAAACCKAACCAAAACTGAACTTTAGGAAAACCAAGATAGCCAAACTGAAAMTTTTATTCGTTTATTTTGGGTAACACCGAAATATCAAGCAAGGTGTGTATCTGTCTGAGAAGGGAACAACCGAAATTGTGGCCAAGCACTACAAGGCAAGGAAGCCTAAACCCATTCGAACATTCTCTTACATAGAGCATAGAGTTCGAAGAGGAAGAGGCACACAATCACCTAGTTTATAGGTCGTACTATTGCAGTCTTGCAGTTGCAGAGGCAGACTTGTAACTGCCTCACAACCTCACCTGTCACTTGCAAATTGTAGCCAGCAGCCCTATGCATTGTGTTGCTTGTGCCATTGCCTATTGTTGTTGTCTTGTTGGAGCAATGAAGCATGGAATTTAAACTCTGGAAATCTGGAATGGAAACTAAAAGGACAGAAGGAGCCAAGAGGGTATTTTGCAATTGATTGAAAGAGGGTTTGTTTCCCCTTCTCTTGGACTTCTATTAATTAGTCTTTACAAGTAAAAGAAAATGACATGTAAAAGGGGCAGTTATATCATGTCCCACCCATAAAAATAATATTTAAAAAAATAAATACACCTCTAAATTGTTTTTTTTTTTTTTTCAGTTAGCTGATGTTTCAACCCTGGTAATCAAAACCCAGAACTAAAATGGTTAAGAACCGAACTACAAAACCGAAACTGAACTGATAGCCAATTCAACTGAACCAATATGGTCGAAACGAACTTTTGATTCGGTTATTCGGTTTTAACTGAACTATGCTCACCCCTAATTCGGTGGGCTAGAGTGCTGCGCTAGTTTTTTGGACTTGCAGTGGCTGATTTTACAAGTGATTGAAGATCAATTATTTTGAGCTAATTCTGTAAATCACTGTAAATGTTATAGTGGTACTTTTTGAGTAGTTCTTTTTTCAGTTGTACAGTGGAGGGTACCTCACCCTCCCCTCTCATTCTCATATCATTAATTCAACACTTTTTGCCAGCTTATTAAAAAAATATCAATACACCCTGATATGACAAATGGCATGTATTGGAACTTTGAACCTAACACCATTTTTTTTTTCAAAATTTGAGAAAATAGTGGGAATAACATTGTTTAACAATTAGAATAGGCATTTCTTAAATAAAAAACTTAAAAGCAACATATCAGTGACTGGATGATACAGTGATATGTTGGAAAATTTTGATCCTTGGGTAAGATGTAGCCTTTGGGACCAAAACAAAATTTTGGAAGAACTTATGGTGGGGGATTTGCCACTCAAGAATCAATTCCCCACTATAAAGATTGCTTGATATCTAACTGTCCTATAATCTCTAACCGTGATCTAAATTGGGGTCTAGGTCTTCGTTGAGGGGTCAGGGATTGTGAAACTCCGGACATTGTAGCTCTTCTTAACCTTTGAATGGTGCTTTTATTGAACCCAACACTTTTTGATTCCAAAATTTGGATCCTATCTGCCTCTAGTTCCTTCTGTTCTGCTTTCTTTTCTACCATTGGAAGAGGTCTGTTTCCACCTAAAATTAACCTTTTTGTTGGGAGGTGTTACATGATAAATTTAATACGTGTGAGAACCTTCAAAGGAGAAACCTTTCTGGTATCTATCACCTCACATTCGCCTTCTCTGCAGAGAAAGTAGTGAGAAATTGAGAACACATTCCACTTACCATTCTTTGGTGTATATGGTAAGAAAGAAATGCGAGATTATTTAATGATACGGTGGAGACTAGTAAAGAAGATAATAGAGAACATGACAATCAAAGTTAGTTATTCTTGCCATATACAATGGATGACACTATGAGAAATTAGAAGCAGGTGGCAGATTCCTCAGATGTTAAAGTTTTGAGCAAATCTGTTTGGACCCCTTTCTTTTCCTAATGTCATAAAATTGAACTTTGATGGCTGCAGCATTGGGAATCCCAGCCGGTCAGGGATTGGTGGTGTTTTCAGAAATGAAGAAGGAAATATTTTGGTGTTATATTCAGGGCCTATAGAGATAGGAGACTCTCCATGGCAAAAGTTTGGGCAGCTCTCCAAGACCTTAGGAGGACCAAATATTATTGTTGAAGGTGACTCGTGTGGTTACTGGATGGCTTATTGGTAGTAAGGGTGGGCCTTGGAAATACAGACATATTTAAGAGAATTGCAGCAGCTAATTCAAGGGTAGGAGCAACTATAAATTGGATACCTAGATTGGAAAATGGATGGATTAGCAAGGCAAGGGGTGGGCAGAGAACATTTGTGTATTGGGGTTTGCTGAGTAAAGGGAGCTCTAATTGTAATCTCAATGTTTTTGGTGGTCAGATGAGGCTAATCACATCCTGCACCTCTTTATATTATCTTCTGTTTTATTCAGTATTAAAATTTTGTTATCCATCAAAAAATCAAATCAAATGTGAAATTACCAATAAAAAACATGCATCCAGATAAGCTTACCTTTTTCTAACACATGGAGACATTTAGCTGATGGGCTTTGACAATATCCTATATGCCTTAGACTTTTGATCTATCTTTGATGACTTTCTTCTGAAATATRAGGTCAAAGCATTTGGATTTGTTAAACATTAATTTCCTTGGTATACTTATAAAAAAAACATTAATTTCCTTGGTACTTTTGGTTGTAGATATTCCTTCATGCTGTTTTTCTTTTTTTCTTGTTGAGCAGTTCTCAGATGGTTATTTGGACTTGATCATTATGAGGGATTGCACAAGAGCATCCATATTAGCATCAATGTCAAAATTGAATGATGGAAGTTATGTCAAGTTGCCAAATGTCTTGTATTTGAAGGTGAGTTAAATTAACGATCAGCAAACTGACCTAATTGTATGTATGTATATATGTATATGTATTTATGCAAAAATTCCACATGGACCCTCCACATAAGCATTAGGTCTGATGYGAGCTTCTGTACCATGAAATACTGCCAAGATGTGAAAAGATAATCTTCTCAGTCAACCCTGCAGCTTCTATGATATTTTTGAAGTATCTATCATCTATTACATTGATCTGCCAAAAAAAAAAGAATCCATGAAGAGACTAGTCTTCCATCACGTACAAGTTTGGGCACCACTTCCTTAAGGGATTTTCTAATTTGCATGATTTTTTTTTATGTGCCATTTATTTTTGTTTTAGAAACTGTTGTGAGACCTAGTTTGTGGGCTTGGGCTTTATTTGTTTATGTTATGTTTCTCTTTTTTTGATCAGCAACACAAAAGATTTCATTGATTAAAAGAAAAAATTGGTTACAACAAGAAGTTGTGAAAGAARCCCAGCTTTAGAAAGCTGACCCAAACCAAAATTACAGCTGAGCCCAAAACAGATAATGTTCTTTGTACCCCTTGCTTAGCTAATCTATCTGCCAAGCTGTTGGCAGTTCTCCTTACCCATATCACACGAATTGACATGTATTTTGAGAACCACTTAAACCTTTTGAGTTCATTTCTCAACTGCGATGTCACCCCCTCCCCCTTCTGTAGCCATTTTATCACAGTTTTTGAGTCTCCCTCGATGATCAGTCTGCTAATACCCAACTCTTTTGCCTTTTTAATCCCATATACAGCAGCCATAAACTCTGACCTTGCCATGTTACCCTGCCCCACAGGACTGGAGAATAGAGCAATGATGTTTCCATCAACATCTCTAATGTCCCCCCGTATGCCTGAGGGAGCCGGATTACCCACACAACTCCCGTCAGAGTTGAGCTTCTTCCAGCCATCTAATGGGGGAGATCATGTCTCAACAGATTTCTGTCTTGTAGATGAAGAGGCAGCAATAATACCCCAAGCCCTGAAGAAATCTTCAACCTTGAAATCTGAGAACAACTTCATGCTTTTTGCCCAGTGTGCCACTCTCAATATTATTGTTTCAATCAAGGCTTCCTTGATTTTTTTTCTTTCTTTTTTTGAGAAAAGTTTAACCAAATTTCATTAAACTAGAAGAGAAAATATGAGAGGATGTACATTACAGGGGAGATCCCCAAAGAGATTACAAGGGAGGAATTTTGTCACTATACAGTTTTTCTAAGTGGGCACCTAGTTTAGATAAGCCATCTGCAATAGGATTTAGCTCCCTCAGGATCCAAAACAGGTTTGCATTTAGACAGTTCAAGGAGTCCCTTGCTTCTGCCAAGTAATGGCTCAACCTCCAAGGACCCCCTTCCTTATCCTTTAGGCATTTGATAGTATTTGTTGAGTCCCCTACTATGGAGAGATT